GCCGACAGTTCTGGCAGAATGCGAAAAACCGCCTGCCGGAAAATTTACCCTAAAAGCGGGCTGCCCCCTCCCCGACTCCAACCTGCGCCTGTCGTTACAGTTTTTGGCAGCGTAGGCCCAGGAAACTTAACGGGAGACAGCCTCGACCCCTCGCCCGCCGGGCAAAAAACTTCCTGCGGCCTATTTCACGGGACACCTCCAAACGACGTGCGTTTTGGCAGCGTCGGCCCACGAAACTTAACGGGAGACAGCCTCGACCCCACGCCAAACGACAAAAAAAAAAAGGAACGAAACGTGGTTAAATGCCTGTCCCATCCAACCGACGGCCGGGCCTCATTTTTGCTGGGCCCGGAGGGAGCGTCTGACGGGGACCGGCGTTTCCTTCAAGTATTAGATAGATTGGGAGAAGAATAAGATTGGCGAAGTGAAGGAGAAGGGGGGAATTGTCATTGGTCTCGCTGGTGTACATCTTCTTCTTCTTCTTCTTCCTCTCTCCTCTGGTCTCTATCTCTTTCCAAGTGCTTTCATTCTTTCGCAATTGGGTGGCATTGTCTTTCATTGTGAATTTGCACTTTGGGAATGTCCAGGATCGTAACATCTTTTTTTCTTTTTTGTCTTTCTTTTTCTTTCTTTTTCTTTCTTTTTCTTTCTTTTTCTTTTTTCTTCTTTTTTTTTTTTCTTTTTTTTTCTTTTTTTTTCTTTTTTTTTCCTTTTTTTTTTGTCGGCCTCCAACCCTGTCCCGAGCCCCGTGTTTTAAGGAGTAGGCTTCTAGATGGACTTTGGGTTTGCCTGTGAACTGGACCGGTTTACTCCCCCAACCGGAACTGGACTGGTTCTACCGGCCGGTCGACCGGGCCGGTTCCCCCCCGGTTGGCCGTAGCGCATCATTTTTTACATTTTTTTTTTTTTTTTTTAAGGCCCAGGGTGTTGTAGAGGCCAAGGACTAGATCCCCCGTAATTACTGGCAGCAGCAGCCGGTGGTTGTGCTGACAGAATAGGCCACCTTCCCTACCCTTCCCCCCGTTAATGCTCCCAGCGCACCCCCTATCCCTACTATCCTACCTCAGTGTGACCAGCACTCAGGACCATCACCCTACCAGTATCGAGGGCAACTTGGACCAGACAGCAGTGACAAGCACCCGCTAACACTATCACCCCCACCCTCCTTTTCAAAGTTTCTGGGTGGGAAGTACTGTCCCTACCCTGCCAGTAACACCTCCAGCCCCCTTTTCAAAGTTTTTGGGTGGAGGGTTAATGTTCGCAGAAAGCCAGGTACGTTGTTGTCAATGTCTGCTGAAGCCTGTGGTTGCTGAAACCCCTCCACCAACACCCTCACCATAACCCCCCCAACCCCTGACCCTCAACCCCTGAAATACAAAACCCCCCCCCGCCCCCCCCCCCAACCA